TTTGTTTGTTAGCAGTCTAGTGCTCACAGTCTAAGATGTTCAAGTTTTGCATATAACAGCTCAAGTTGCTAACACTGGATGAGGGTATTTATTAACCTTCATTGACAGCGCCAAAGGTCAGAGAAATGCGTATGCAATGCTTCAAGGTCAAAGGTCAGACATCGGTTTAGCGCTGGCTCTTTGGGGGGAGCTGTGCTTTTGTTTTTTTTTAAAAAATAAAATAAAATCAGGCTGTCTTGCATTATGAAAATCAGTATCACATATTTTACATTTTCACTGAACCTGAACTGTAACTTGTTAATGAGTTTTCGGCTGCAGGAGGGAAGTGTGTCAGTGCTGTCTGTGTGTAAACCTCCTGCATGTCCTCCACAGGAGTCAAAATCTGTGACGCATACAATGCAGTCATGGAGTACGTGAAGAAAGAGAAGCCGGAGCTCGCGCAGAAGCTGACCAAAAACCTCGGGTAAGTACCCACAGGGGCTTTCTTCTCTCGGACGTCCTCAAATTCAGAGCACTTATGTCCGTTTCCTTGTTGTAGTTTTGCGATGGGGATCGAGTTCAGAGAAGGGTCGCTGGTTTTGAACGCCAAAAATCAGTACAGACTAAAAAAAGGTGAGACTGTTGACTGTGTTAAGCACACAGGTGGTTTTATGCATTAGTGAAAGTTTCTTAAAGGAGACGTTGTGTCCTTCAGGGATAGTGCTCAGCGTCAGCCTGGGTTTTTCTGACTTGGTGAATAAAGATGCGAAGAAAGAAGAGCAGAAGAAGTACGCCTTGTTTCTTGGTGACACTATACAGATCAATGAGGTAAGCAGCCCTGTTGGAGTAGATCCCAGCAAACGTCTTTGTCACACAAGCAACAAAAATATAAATGTTAATTTAAAAAAACAGTAATGACTGGTCTGTACACACTGTTAAACACATACGTGTGCATCTGCTTAAGTTGCTGTCTTCATGCTGATGCTGAAGCATGATGGTCAATCTTTTTGATGTCCTGGTGTGTGTGTGTGTATCACAGGAGGAGGCCGCCACAGTCCTCACACCGGTGAAGAAAAAGATCAAAAACGTGGGAATCTTCCTAAAGGTGCGTGGTCACTGTGTCCGCTTTCTATGAGAGTCAGGAGCTGAAGAGGAGTATTTACGTCCTTATACATTTATAATCACGTATTATATGGACAGAGGTGTTTGGGCCACACCTCTTAGGGTTGCTGTGGCTCTGGTGGTTGACTGAATGGTACTCCTGCCTGTGTATTATTTATTAAGCCATATATTTATGGCTGCCACCACAGATTTTAATAAAGTGTAATTTCTCTGTTCACCTCATGGTGGCAGCACCATCTGATCAATGTTGCAACCAAAATAAGGATAAGACTTACAATACACACAATAGTAACTCACATTTAACATGAGCCTGAGACGCTGATGTTCAGCAGCTTCACTGAAGTTTCACGTATTGCTGACCGCTTTGTCGTTATTATTTTATTCTCCACATTTGAGCGAAAAAGTAGATTTATTGTGTTTAGGCTTGAATACAAGTGATCGCCATCATAACAGTTCTTGTGTTACTGAAAACGAAGTGGGGTTTTTCTTCCCCATTAATAAATGCGGTACTTTTGGAAAGTGTTTGGACACTCCCGGTGCACTTTAAAAGCACTGTACGTGTGTGATTGGGTTGGTGATGCCTGTACTACAGCTAGAGCTGGGCGATAGAACGATAACGATATGTATCGCGATATAACTTTTACTCGATAGAGAAATTAA